ATGGCGAACAGACTGGGAACGCTGGCCCGGGCGTGTACCGCAGCTGGGCGAGCAAAGGCCAGCCAGGCCCTGGCATCAGACCTGGCCAAGGTGCTGTGCGGCCCCGGGCGCGAGGCGAGCCTCGGCTGTCATCTGCGTGGTACAGGCGGGGGAGCTGAGTCACAGCGCAGGGACAGGGGACCCAGCAGGGCAGCAGCTTTTGTGGGGCACTGAAATGCCCCCGTCTGTGACCCACCGGGGGGGCTGCCTGTGGGGAACTGCTGCCAGCCAGAGCGTGCGGCGAGCCGGCGGGGTGCGGTTCCACACCTCTCCAGCATTGGCACCGGCCTCCTACAGCCCGGGCGTCCCACCCTCCCAGGCGCTTTAACTGGCCAGCCCCAGGGCATCTGCTGCTGCCCGCGTCCTGCCTAATCGGCTTAGCGAATGGGCTCAAGAGGCCGGGGATTGGGGCGGGCGGCAGCTCGGGCTGACGTCAGTGGCAGCTAAAGCCGGCAATGGAAGGGGGAGGGAAGTAGGGGGAAGTATCACTGGTGCTGTTTAGTCCCGGCCGAGCTGCTGGCTGCCACGGTCCCCGGGCGCTGTGGGGTCAGTGGGTGCCAGGGGACCTCCTGCATGGGTCCAGGCAGGTGGGGCGCTTACCCATGGGGGGAGGGGCGCGTGCCTGATGGGCCTGATCCTGCCGGGGAGGCTCATTCCTGGGAGGCCAGTAGGGTGAGGTACCTGACTGCCCGATCCCGCCAAGTGAGTCACTGTCGGTCCCCACCCAGCAGGACGGCCCGCTGTATTATTAGGCGTCATGTGCTTAGCTGCAGAGCTTAGGCGCCCTGGGCACGGAGCGGGACCCGTGGTGCCAGGCGCTGTACGAACGCAGAACAGAACCCCCACCCCACCCGCAGTCCGTGGGACAGGAGAGTGCTGGAATCCCGAGGAGTAAATCCCACAGAAGACCAGAAGGTGGCAGTGGAATGGCGCCTCCTACTGGCTATACAGAGGTAGGGCAGCAGATCTAGGGAAGTGATTATTCCCCTTTATTAGGCACTGGTGAGGCCACATCTGGAGTATTGTGTCCAGTTCTCCCCACATAAGAACGGCCAGACTGGGTCAGACCAAGGGCCCATCAAGCCCAGTCTCCTGTCTGCCACAGTGGCCAATGCCAGGTGCCCCAGATGGAGGGGACACAACAGGGAATCATCACGTGATCCCTCTCCTGCCACCCACCTCCAGAGAAAGAGTCCAGGGACACCATCCCTACCCATCCTGGCTAATAGCCATTGCTGGACCTACCCTCCTGTGATGTAGTGGGTGCTGTCCACTCACTGCTGGAAGCTCCATCCAGGGGGTGCAGTGCATCCCACTTCTGACACCACTGTGATGGTGCATCGGGGACCTCCCGATTCTGCACCCCATCTGCAGCCAGATGAGACTCTGCCAGCCAGTAGAATAGAGGGGGTTATTGCTTCTCCAGGATACAGCACAGCATAGATGTGATGTGGACATAAGGTGTCAGGGGCTGGCAGCCTTAGACCCCCTTGGGGTAGGGGTGCACAGGCCCCTGAATGCCCAGCACTCTGCTTAATCTGTTCTCTTCATGTTTCCCCAGCCAAAAAAAAAAAACCCTTCTCCCGAAACCACCAAACACCCATCCCCCAGGTAGCGCCACCCCTTCCTTTGTTTAGGTAAGAAGCCCTGGCTGGTCACTGCCTACTTGTTGGAGCTCAGGGGTGACCTCCCGTTGGACAGTGCTCACAAACACAGGCCAGTAGGGATCGCACACAGCCCAAGCATAGCGACCAACGAGTGGACAGCACCCACTGCGTCACACCTCCATGAATATGTCTAGCTCTTTTTTGAATCCTGTTAAAATTCTAGTCTTCACAGCTTCCTCTGGCAAGGAGTTCCATAGGTTAACTGGGCACTGCATGAAGAAAAACTTCCTTTTGTTTTTTTTAAACCTGCTGCCTATTAAAAATGACAGAAAGGATGTGGCCTCATTGGAAAAGGTCCAGTGGAGGGCAACAAAAATGATGAGGGGGCTGTGAGGAGAGGCTGAGAAATTTGGGCCTATTTAGTCCACAGAAGAGCAGAGTGAGGGGGATTGGATAGCAGCCTGTAGCTACCTGAAGCAGGTTTCAAAGAGGCTGGAGAGAGGCTGTTCTCAGTGGTGGCAGATGGCAGAACAAGGAGCAATGGGCTCAAGTTGCAGTGGGGGAGGTCTAGGTTGGAGATTAGAAAAACTATTTCCCTAGGCAGGAGGTGAAGCTAGGAGGGTAGTAAAGCACTGGGATGGGTTCCCTAGGGAAGTAGTGGAGTCTCCATCCCTAGAGGTGTTTAAGTCTCGGCTTGACAAAGCCCTGGTTGGGTTGATTTAGTTGGGATTGGTCCTGCCTAGAGCAGGGGGCTGGACTTGATGGGCTTCTGAGGTCTCTTCCAGCCCTATGGGTCTATGATTCTATAACAGCATGTTTGATGACTCTTTCTACTCTCATGGGGGCAGCCTGATGGTGTGGCTATGACATATGATGATGAAACAGTTTCACTCCTCCCCTCAAGGGTGTTAAGCAGCAGCTACTGAAGTGAGACCTCTCTCCATCAGGGAGCCCGGAGAACTTGCACTCAAGTTTTGGAAGAGCTGGCCGAGGGGCAGGCAGGCCCGTGTCTGTTGCTTTTCAATACATTTTGGAACACTGGGGAAGTTTCAAGAAGGCGGGAAGAAAAGGAATGCTGGCCACTATTTAAAGAGGGCCAAGAGGAAGATCAGAATAATTATATGGCTGAGTGACCTGAGATTTAACACTGAATGCAGAGGCATGTTCCTGTGTATTACACAGAGCCATGGGCATGAGGGGAGGGTAACAGGGCACACAGAGCCCTGGCAGCGGGGAGGGGTTGCAGGAAGTCTCTGAAATAGGGTGGGATGGGAGGGTGGCACATAGAGCATTTATGGGGGGCAGAAGGAGGATGGCAGGGCCCCCTAGATTTTTGCATTCCAGCTGCCAGCACATGCTCAGCAGCCCCGTTGCTGCCTGGGGTCCCAGTCGCCAAGCTGCGGGGGTCTCAGGTACCAGCCCCACAGGCTCTGCTGTCAGCCCTGAGATTTTGCCCGTCTGAGCTCAGTAGCCAGCTCCAGGGCCCAGCTTTCCCCCCACAGCTGTGACCCCAGCCTGGGGCGGTGAGGGGTGCAGACGGGGCGAGGTGGGGCAGAAGGACGCAACTCAGCCCCCCACCCTATGAATTGTCCCGGCCCCCCAGTGTGTGACAGGGGATGTAACCCCCCAGGAGAGGGGCCATAGTCAGCCGGCTCAAGCAGGAGCTCGAACGCAGCAGGGGCCCTCTGGGAGGTGGCCAGAACCTGCCCCCTTGCACATGCAAGCCCCGCCCCCAGCCCAGACTGAACGCTTTCCCCATGGCCCTGCCTCCGGGGTAGACAGCCAATCAGCGCTCTGCAGGCTGCAGGCAGCGCCCCTCCTCCCCCCTGTGAGGCACGAGCCAGTCCTAGACTTTCCCAGCCGCCGACCCCGGGGCTTACTGGGGACCGCGCGGCGC